GGTTTTGTTCGCAAAGCATGGAATAATTCCTGGGCAATCATTATGTTGTCTGATATCTGTCTCCCAGCAACAAAGGCTGACTGGGTTTCTGAGATCCTATCTGGGAGGACCTCTTTAAATCTTTGGCATAATACCTTGGAAATAATCTTGTAACAAACATTACAAAGACTAATGGGTCGGAGCTGGCTCATCTGGTTTGGTTTATCAACTTTTGGGATAAGGCATATATTAGTATCATTTATACCAGCCGGTATAGTCCCTTGAAATAGGAATCGATTAACCATAAGAGTTAAATCATCCTTCACTATCTCCCAAAAGTTTTGATAAACAAAGCTGTCATTCCATCGGGTCTTGGGGCTTTCTCTGGGTGCATAGCAAAAAGAGCAACCTTCACTTCACATTCAAAAACCGGTGTTGTTAGGCCCTTATTATCTGCTGGCGTAATCGTAGTGGTAACTTCTGAAAGTGCATCCTCTATCTCCTCAGGGTTTGATGATTGGAAAATTTGTCGAAAATAGCTAGTAGCAATGGCTACTAAGCCTTCCTCATCCTCCACAACATTCCCATATGCATCCAATAGTTGGGTTATCCTGTTCTTTGCTCTTCGCTGATTCGTGAGGGCGTGAAAAAATTTAGTGTTTCGATCGCCCTCCCTTAACCAGAAAACCTCTACACTTCTGCTTCCAGAACATTTCCTCCGCCTTAAGTGCGTCAGACAATTCTTTTAACGCCGCAGCGATCTCCTCTGTAGTGGCATCATCGTTGGAGGATAATCGATCCACCTTCTCTTTTAGCTCCTCCACACTCTTCTATGAATTCAGATTGTGTTGTCTTTTCCAATCACATAATGCTCGTCTACAGCTTGCAATATGATCCATAATGCTCGCATCCGGGGGGTAGGTCTGGTGATTTCCATCCTTCAAGTATAGTCTGTCTAAGTTCCTCATTGTGAAGCCATCGCTTATCAAATTTAAAGTTTTTTGACCTTCCTGGCTTTTTTTTAAGAATATCTGCTAGGATTGGACGATGATCCAAACCTCATAGCCTTAGGTATTGCACTTTTGAATGAGGAAACTTCTCAAGCTAGTTCTCATTACCCACAACCCTATCAAGACGACATCTAACAGTAGCATTTCCTGCTCGTCTTCCTACCCAGGAAAGCATGTTTCCTGTAAAAGGGAAATCCAGCATACCACAGTCACTGAACATCTGCTTAAAGGCAGGAAGGAGATATTAGTACGTTGCCTGCCCCTTCCTTCTCTTCATGACAAGTAATTTCATTAAAATCACCAATCATAAACCAATGTCCATTTCGTGTAGTTGACAAACGCGTAAGACGTTCCCAAACTAGGTCTCTTCTTTCTACTATAGGATCCCCATAAACAAATGTCATATAGACTTTTATTCCATCAATGACTGCCTCAATGTCAATCATTCTGTTATTCGAAAATAAAATCTTAACTTGAAAATCATCCATAAAAAATAAAGCTAAACCTCCGCTGAGACCAAGTGGCTCAACGGTAAACAAACGATCAAATCCTAAGTCGGCTTGAATGTCTTGCAACAGCAGCCTCCTATTCTTTGTTTCAGAAAGGAACACTAGTCCTGGGCGATGCTTCTGACACATCTCCGTAAGGCGTCGAACTGTGAGGTCAGTCCCAATCCCTCGACAGTTCCAACTGAGTGTCTTCATGGATGAAAGTGGGATGGGTTTTTGGATCCCACCGAACCACTTGCTTTGTTTGCCTTAGACCGATCCACTCTAGCATTAAGGCTAAGATGTTTTGGTTTAGCCTTCTCACCAGTGTGCCTTTGAGTAGTAGAACTTAGGACTCTCAAGTGTGGAGATCCCCGACGGAGAACCTCTTTTTTCCTAGGAGTTCGTGTTCCCGTTCCACCCTCCTTTCGAGTTTCTTGAGCTTCTATCCTTCTCAGTGTGGCGTGAGATATGTTGTGACGGCGGTACCTCCAAGTCCTTGAGTTCCTCATCAAAAAGATCATCCTCATCATCCATTTTTTCACTTCCTCGTTCGTAGCAGGTCCCATAACAGATAAAGCCTCAATTACTAGTGCATCATCATCTTCAAACACATGATTATCAGTGTAGTATGTCAAAGAACGCACCACACTTTCTGGACAAACCGTCACATTATCCTGCATATGTGGCGATGTAATCGTACTGGCTAGCCTCTTCTTCTATGGACTTACATGTTTCACCGTTGTACCATCAATTTGGCCACGCCCATTACTTGAGAAGGCTGCGTCCTCCACCACTTCCTCATGGTCATAAGGACCAAAGCGAGTAGTCCTATCCCTGCTTCCATTACGTGAGCTTCTATTCCCAGCCGGAATATAAATCTCTTGAGCTTCAGCTCTACGGCTAATCTGATGAGAAGTACCAGCGCCGGTAAAAGGCTCAGAAACAAGACCTTGTGAAGCCCTATCCATGCTCTTATTCCGTGGATCAGCATTACGAGATGTGCGAGGAGATTGAGGGCCATTGTTTTCAGCAGTTACATCCTTCTCGTGAGTTCTCATCCTTCGATATGCTTGGTGATCAGAGGGATCACCATGGCGAACATTTGTTTTCTTCCTATCAGAGGCAGAACTCTTCAAGTTTCTATTCTTCTCACGCCACTCAAACCTATCACTTTGATTAATCCTTGAGAAACTCCGATGACTTTCGGTAGCTCTCCAGCTTGGTGACTCCCCGTCACGTCTTCTCTCAGCTCTCACAGTGTCCGTCTGATCCTCCCCTACCTTGATCATCCGGGCATAACGAGCAGAAGAAGCAAAGGGCTTCTCCCTCCGAAGACTTTCATGGTGTCGAGTATAGGGGTTCTGAACCTGTCTATTGCTATGTTTTTCATGACGTCTCCGCATCACCCTGTCAATGCGTTGATGGTCTGAACTCATACGGAGTGTGGGATCATCATCTTTACTAGTATAATTTCCAGTGTTTCCAGCAGTAGTGCGATGGTAAGCACCATCCTTGCGGCGTGGAGGGACTGTTTTGTTGTAGGACTCGGCTTGGGCCTGTTGATTCCCCGCTGAGCTAGATGTGATATCCGGGAAGTGTAACCTCATGTTAAGATCCCTGCGCACTTTCAGGTTCTGATCCTCCTCTTTTGATGCCATAACACGATCAAGAACATTATTTTGCTAAGGTTTCAAAGGACAATGGTCCTTTTCATGGGTTAAGAAACCACATGTGGTACAATGTTTAAAGAGAAGATCATAGGTTATCTTGATTGTGACTGCATCACCTTCTGAGTTTGTAGCCATTCTTGTGAATTTTATAGGCTTGCGCGTGTCAATATCAATAAGCATTCGCCCCTCCTAAAGCTCCAGCGTATCCACACACCCCAAAGTGTCTCCAAGACCTCGGAGATTTTTTTTTGTCCATAAGTGCAAAGGCACACCAGTTATAGTCACCCAAAAAGGAATAATCCATGGGTAATCATCATGGACAATAGGCTTCCACCTCACTAACACGAACATGCAGAAGTTATAATGGAAAGGACCTTGCCTTAATACTTCCTTGAGATCCTCTTCATTAGTAAAATTCAACAGGAATTTTCCGTTGCTCAAATCATTCGCTGTAATTCGATCTTCCATTCCCCACTGCGTTGGCATATAGTTGATTAATTTTTCAACTTTTTGTTTTCTTGGATTCAATATCTTCCCAATTAGCGAGAGCCTGAATTCTTGAAAAACTTGAGTGTCCTCATCATCGAGTAGCCGGAAAGACTCTTCTTCTTCATCCCTCATAATCCCCTTGCCTTTAACATCTCCTGACAAAGCCCCACCATAGGAGCCCATATTCGAAACCAAGCAAGGGCTGTTACGCTCAGTCACAGAGACCGTAACGTACGAAAAAACCCACGTATTGCTCTGTTTTCAATAAGAAAAACAGAGTACCAACTAGAGACTATGTCGATCAGTTAACACCACGAAACTCAGTCAAAACAGATCAATGCAACCCAACACAACGGTCCAGAGAGATCATGAAGCCTTAACCATCAGTAGAGTGCTCAGTAAGTAATCGCATAGAAACGTTCCGAGTAGGTGAATGAGCCGATCCACAGTGAAGTTCTGTAAAGCTCGCGATGGTGATCAAGGAACAGGAAGATCAGTCTCACAAAGATCCCATCGGAGATCAAGGAGACGGACCGGAAAAGATGGAGCCGCGTAACCGTTTTCCACAACCCACGTCAAAGGACAATGAGATCAGGATCGGAAAGGCTGAGTCGCAAGTAACTCAAAGGAGTTCAGATGAGAGTACTTTGAAAGGTAACCGGAGAAGTGATGAAAAGGAAACAACAAGGATCATTCCCAATCAAAACTTGCATACAATAATGAGAAGCCCGTGGACAAGGATCTCCCCTACCAATCTCACACCAAAAGGTGATGAGATCTTATGCAGAGAGACGAAACAGAGCCGGAGGATCTCGTCGCCATACCCATCGCCACAGCCGCCAGAGAACCTAGGTTTTCTTTTTTTGAAATGACGCGGTTTGTCTGATTTGATGTTAGGTTTGAGAACTTCATGTTTTATTGACAAAACATGTTTCGTAATCAGCCTACACTAAACTGATAAATGATAAGGATAAATTAGGCGGCTATAGGCTGTATGAAAATCACCCTCTTGATCAAAGTTATACGGGCTTGTCTATGTGGGTCATAAAGTGTTGAAATCCAAGGTTTGGAGCATGCCATCAATAGTTTAATAAATGTAGTAAACTTAAACTTTTTTCCGACTATCTAAAGGGTCTCAACTTTATGAAATTGAGTATAGATAGCTAGTATCTGTTTGCCTGTGATGTGACATGTGTTTCGTTTGAGCTGTTGGTATATCATTCTTTCAGGTGTTTCGTCTCTATGCTCCAATGGTATAGCACGTTACTTGAAAGCAAAAAGTGTTCGATCCCACATTTTGGATTTTCATAAAACTAGTTTGGCTATTTTGCTTTAGTTTACCAACGTCAATAAAAACAAATTTAACCTAACTTTTTACTATACCTTCGCCTTTGACTTCTCCAGCAATTCATCGGCTGGCGAAACTCTATTGTCCGGTTTCCAATAATATAATAAGTGTTCCAATCCTCAAGAACTTGTCTTAAATCCTTCAACTTATTATCCTGTCCAATGCAACAGTTCCCATGCATTACGCAAACTTTGGTAATATTCCAGTTTTGTTGGCAGAAATTTCCAACGTGTGTGGTGTCGATAAACCTCATTTTGAGCCCGATTTTAGTGAGGTATTGGTTGCCTTTGATCTTGTTAATTACGTCCTGCACATTATTCCCAGGGTATCTTAGTCTGGACTCATACCAATACTTGTAGAACTCGATTGTTCTGTGGTTCGCCACGACAAATTTGAATCCTCCATTGGCATAATTGCGGATGTCGCTGGAATTTCCGTTGAAGCGGTCGCAAGCGATTTGAAAATCTACATCCGGAATTAATCGAGGAAATGGATCTCGAAGCCACACTGTATCCATGTCCTAAAACAATTTTATACCGGAAGATGTACAATATAAGGAAACAATCAATAAATATAAAGGCCGTATATTAAAAACCAATAAAGAAACATAACCAAGTTAGTTTATAACCCTGTAGATTTTGTTACTAAATAAGCGAAACTATATCAAAAATGCATTCGAATAGGTTAGAGAGGTACCGTGTAGAGGAAGTTATATCCGAGCTTAAGCAAAGAACCCAAGAACTCGGTTTGGCGCCACATCATCTCGTGATAACCCCCCACCATGAACAGCCTCTCGCCTGAGAAATCAGTTCCGGTAGTCCTCAGCAAGAAACAACGGTTAGGAAAGACCTCCACGCAATGTGAGTAAGATTTCTCGTCCAAACACACCACGAGCACGTGACGGAGCAGCTTCTCTGTGCCATTACCAACGAAAAAGCCCTCGAGAAACACATCAAATGTTGAGTTTAGATCCGCATAAGCCTGATTCATCATCGTCACTATCACGGTCTTCTCCGCCGTCGATGCTTCCCTTAAGATTCTTTCCAAATTTTTACCATCTTGTGTCTCAAACTATCCATAATATTATACATCCAACTGTTACTATCTGACGACCCATCCAATTTTATACAAAACTTCTAAATTTGTATAGTGTTGTAGGCAACTCATTCGTATGATAACTTCAAACATAAACATGAAATTAGGTTACGACGTTATCAGCCATGGTAGAATTTTGTATAATGTGGCAACATATAACGTTAATCAGAACATAGTTTAGATAATTTGGTAATCCATTAGAACATGAATTTAGGTTACTAACGTTATCCGTGTTGTTAGAGTTTTGTTTGGCTGCGATCAGAGGCGGCACAAACGAATAAAAGCTTGAAATCTGCGGGAGCGGTAGAGGTTGTGGCTGAACAAGTGAAGTAAAATGGTAGACAACTAGAGACAGGAATGTTAAAACAAATAGAGAAACAACCCATTTAAGCTCTCTACACTTCGCTTGAAGCTGCAGCGACGTCTGTTTCATCGGCCTAGAGCTGGCCGCTATTTTCTTAGAGGGGATCATGTTTCAATGTCTATATAAAATATAGTCTTATAACTTAAATCAATATCTCTCCCTCTCTTATATTTTTATATGTATGCATTTTCGGACACATGCATGTATGTTATCATATAGCATGATTGGTATTGTCGTCTGTCAAATGTCACAACGTATATTAAATCCTACATTGTTTGTTACGTTTGTGTCTCTATATGCATTAAATTTATTAGAATAAATATCTAGTCAAAAAGATGCGTCTTATATGTTCTCAAACCAGTTTAGTAATTTATGTGGCGAAGTGGTTGAGCTTCTTTTTTTTGGAGCATAGGTTGTCGAGGCGTAAACGCAATTCAGATAGCTGGTATGAAATTATATTTTGTGACTTTAATGTGGCCTATAAAAGTAGATCAATACCAATAATGCACTCAGAGATAGATTAGTTACTTTTTGCTATAAACGATTTCACGTGTAAGCGTACATATGAGTAAAGGGCTTTAATGCTATATATTTTTCAAAATCAGTTCGTCATGCAGTTGTATATGCTTGATGGTATCAGTTCGTCATGCAGTTGTATATGTTTGATGGTAACTTCGACTGGACTCAAACCTCTAGGAACAAAGAAATATAAGAACAGAAATTTTCTTATTAACTTTAAAAACTTCTCAAAACTAAAACTTTCAATGTTTCTCTTAGATCTTTTATGAAACATTTCTCCATAAGGTTTATATTTATGTGTAAGACAATTTCTTTTATGCCAGATATGTAAAACACTTAAACCTAATCTAATAAAAAACTTTTTATTTTCCTATTTCTAAATTTTCTTATTGTGTTTATCTGTTAACATATTAAATATCTAATAATATGTTAAGTTTCCACAAGTTTGGAATTATCCAACATTCACCCCCTTAATACCAACTTGAATTAGGAAGATCAATTTCTTGAACTCCAATTAAGCTCCTCATTTGCTTGAACTTAATCATCAAGTAATCATCCTTCACCACACCATAGTATGTGAATCTACCTATTGGATTCACATATTTCTCAAGGTTAGACTGGATGTTCTCCTTGCTTATGTACCGCCTCTTCTTAGAATTGGTATAGTTTTTGTAAAACATTCTCATGACCCCTCACTTAAGTTGATGAGTCATGCAGATGAATCTCACTGTTTCAAGAGCTCTCTGGTCACGTCTGCCATCTTGCGTACGTGAGCTCTAGTAATGATTTCCACCTTTTATTCAACGCCAACGCGTTTATCTCTGGTTTTTCTTCAGCCTTTGAGATCTTTAACCTTGACTCTATTGGTACGTGAGTTATGTTACACGCTTCCATCTTTGTGTTACATACCCCTGTACGTTTAACACCAGCATGTCTATCCACAAATTCTTACGTCTTGTTTCTTGTGATAGAATTCATCTCGACTTTCATAGCTTCAACTCCACAAAGTAGATTGAACTTAGCTGAGGTAAACTCTCTCCCCCTCTATCAGTGAGAAAGGTTTTAACGGGTTCCTTAAACCTTTTGAACCAATCGAATACCTCATGCTTCTTCTTCAATAGTATAGCTTGGAATGAATGTCTAATTTGCTTCTTTGCTAGAAATTAATGTGTCACACACACACACACACACCTTCTTCCAGATGTATTTAGAAGCGGCTTATTCTCCCACCTGGAGAATCAAGTTTTCAGAAACGAATTGAAACAAAAGAGCCATCGCCACATCGGTCTTCCTTTATCATTGGATACCAGGTTTTATCGTGTCACATACTACGTGAACACACATCATAACCTTCATCCTCATCGACCAAACTGTGTATTTTGTTCATCTCAACATCAGACATTGGATGGATGCTGATCCAAAGTCCTTCGTGCGTGGAGTCCTAGTCACGTCCGCCATCTTCACAAGCACCAAGATCTTAACTTCAACTTAAGTTTAGATTGAGTCTCCAACCTGAGGCTTTGATACCAATTCAAATCTTTAGAAACAAAGAATTATAAGAACAACTTTTTTTATTAGCTTTAGAAACTTCTCAAACTAAAACTCTCAATGCTTCTCTTAGATCTTTTATGGAACACCTATCCATAAGGTCTATATTTATATGCAAGACAATTCTCTTTAACATGTGAAATATAGAAAACAGAAATCTAATCTAATAAAAAACTTCTTTTCCGTACTTATAAATTTCCTTATTGTGTTTATCTCTTAACATATTAAACATCTAATATTATGTCAAGTTTCTACAAGCTTGGAATAATCCAACATGGACCACCATAAAAAAATTTCTTAATAAGCTTTAGTAATCAGGTTGTGCGCATATATAGTATATTGGGGACCGAATCCGAGGAATTTGTTCCATTACATGATGCAGAATGAGAATCGGCATCACGTAATATGTGGAGTTTTGGGATATGATGTACAGTCTTCAAAGACATTTTCAGAGTTCTCATCGTGATAATACTAAATCATGTCCGTTTTCAGAGACTAAGAACATCCGCAGTGGTGGGTCTCTCACTTAATCTTTTGTAATTAAATTATTAAAAGGGTACAAACGATGAAAGAAGAAAAGAAAAAAAGGAAAGAGAAACATAAACGCTTATTCGCAGAGAGACATACATGATGTGGGAAGAGATTTTAGTTACCAGCCATTAATATATTAGTCATTGAAATGTATGTTATTTCTTGTTTAGTTATTTATTAAATTTATATTATTATTTAAATAGATGAGAACTCGGAAAATGTACTCCATCGCTGCAGATGCTCTAAGAGCACTCTCAATAGAATATCTATTTCTCGAAATTCTCAAAATACATATGTCTATATATATATATTAATATTAATATAAATTTGAGGGTTTTTAATTTGGGAAGCACAATCCAAAATATTTATTTTCAGTCATATTATTACCAGTGTGAATGTAACTTTTGTGAGGTCTTTGTGTTATAACTTTTGCTTAAGGACTTGAGAGTTTATTTGAGAGAAAAATACAAATTAAGTTTACAAAAAAATGAGAAAAATACAAATTACCTTAAACACAAACAAAGAGTTTATTTTAGAGAAAAAATACAATTTTTTTTGGACAAAGAAAAAATACAAATTAAGTTTACAAAAAAAAGAGAAAAATACAAATTACCTTAAACGCAAACAAACAAACAAACTACTGTACTAGTTATACCACCTTTTTTATCAAAGTAAATCCTTGTTTTTCAGTCCTGTTATTACTAGTATGAATGTAAGAGGACATGTCTTTACTTTTCTTTTACTAATCAACCCCTCCTGTGACTTCTCCTGTGGCTTCTGTGTAACATACGATAGAAACTATTTCGGCACCTCATCGGCTGTCGAAACCCTCTTTTTCGGTCGCCATTGACAAAATAATTCTTCCAATCCTCAATAACTTGTCTTAAATCCCTAATTTTATTTCCCAATCCAATGCAGCAATTCCCATGCATTACGCAGACTTTGGTAATATCCCAGTTTCTTTGGCAGAAATTTCCAACATTGGTTGTATCGATAAACCTCATTGTGAGCTCGAGTTTCTTAACGTATTGATCGCCTTTGATCCAGTTAAGAACGTCTTGCTCATTTCTTCCACGGAACCTTAGTCTGGACTCGTACCAATAGTTGTAGAAATCGATTGTTCTTTGGTTTGCCATGACCATTTTGAATCCGCCATTGGCTGCATTGTGCCTGTCGGTGAAATTCCCATTGAAGAAGAAATCGCAGGCGACCTGAAAATCTACATCCATATCTAATCGAGGAAATGGGTCTCGAAGCCAAAGCGTATCCATGTCCTGTTTTTATAACAAAAACAATATATCAAATTAACTTGGTAAGAAATAACCGAACCAACTAGATTTATTATGGGAAAATTCCATAAAAAATTCAATTAAATTTCGTTAAGCTTTTTAGTACCCAAATTTTTTTGCTACCCAATTTAATATCCCAATTAATTATTTTATCTATTTTAATACAAAAACTTTTATAATTGTGGTCATTTAATACCCAAACTTTGTTTATTTAACAATACTAATAAGTTTCAAATGAAAGTTTTAAAAAATCTCTAAAATCTAAAAAAAAATATTGAAAATTTCTAATTTTACTTGAAGATTTAAGAAAGAAGGTAAATAAACCCTGGAGAAGTTTTAAAAATTCATTTTGAAGGAAAACAAATTGATTTATTTTATATTTAAAAAAACAAACTAAATTCAATATTTAAAACTTAAAAAAGATATTACAAATTGTAAGATTATAAAACTTTTATTTACTTGTATTTCTCAAGCATAAATAAAATAAGAATTTTCTATAAAGTTAGAGATTTTTAAATTTTCATTTGAAACTTTTTAGTATTTTTTTATTAAAATAAACATTTTTGGATATTTAAATGGACACAATTATAAAAGTTTGTGTATTAAAATGAGAAAAATAATTAGTTGAAGTATTAAAATAGGTAGCAAAAAATTTTGAGTATTTAAAAACTTAACGAAATTTAGTTGGGGTATTTTTATGAAATTTTCCCAATTATTATATCAAAACGAACCTAAATGTTTTTTTTACAAGTTACAGCTATATTATTTTAAACTATGGGATATCATCCAAATAAAAACTAAAATAATGTAAAAACATATAGTTCTTTTAGTTTATTATTTATTTCAAACATGTTTACTTATTTAATTATTGTATATATACATATAATTATTTCTCATCGGTTGACAAATTATTTTCTCATTTAACACCAAACTGAATTAAACCAAAGCTTCTAATTCAATCATAAAAGTTCAAGTTCAAACCGATCGAGTTTATAGACCGAAAGATATATATAAATAAACAAATCAAAACCGAACTGAATAGCTGACAGTATATCCCAAAATTTATGATGCAAGGTTAGAGAGGTACCGTGAAGAGGAAGTTATATCCAAGTTTAAGCAAAGAACTTAAGAACTGGGTTCGGCGCCACATCATCCTGAGATAATCCCCTGCCATGAACCGCTTCTCGCCGGAGAAATCAATTCCGGTAGTCTTTAGAAAGAAGCAACGGTGGGGAAAGACCCCTAAGCAACGTGAATAGGCTTTATCGTCCAAACACACCACCACAACGTGACGGAGAAGCCTCTCCGTCCCATCGCCAATTCGAAAGCCCTCCAGAAACAAATCGAATGTAGAATTTGGCTCCGCCCAAGCCTGGTTCATTAATGTCACTATCACTGTCTTCGTGTCATTCATTGATGCTTCCTCCAAGATTCTCGCCAAATTTCGCCTATCTTCTGCATCAATCTATCATCCAAAACAAAACTAAGAGTAATGGATATGATTTGTATACACTAAATACCAATTTATATCACATTATTGTATGCATTTACAATACTTTGTGATGACCGTTGAAAATGCTAAAGTATTACTCAAATTAAATAGTAACTTTCTAAATATACTTTAGACTTAAAGATATAAAGGAAGAAAAATCAGATATATTTATTAGAGTATTTTTTGTGCGTACATATATATATATCAGGTACATATATATGCATATATATATATATATAAGGGTCCCATATATAATAGACGTGAACTTGATGAATAAAATGATTCCTCTAGTATGATTTACATGTCGATGCATAAATTACTAACGGTATCCGTGTAACTCATTTCGTGTTTGGCTTCTATCGGCGGTTGCACAAACGCAAGAGAGTTTGGAACTTGCGACAGCATTGGTTGAGCAAGTGACCCCGAATGGTAGAGAACTAGAGACATAAATACTGTCAAAACAAATAGAGTAACAATCCATTTAAACTCTGTCCACATTGTCTGAAGTTGCGGTAACATCCGTTTCAGAGGCTGCGACTCTAGACCGCCACCGCCGCTGTTGACCATTTTGAGTATATAGTCTTAAGTCAGATCTCTTTTTTTTTTTCTTAATTGGTATTGTTTAAATGTAGCTGCGGACTCATGCATGTCCATTAATTTATAACTACGGTCATTAATGTCATGTTGAATGCCTCAATATATTTTCTCAAAAAAGTCGGAATTTATAGATTGAATCTTCGGTTGTTTGTTTGTTTTTACAACTCAATACTATTAAAACAAGAGAAATTCTTGGGTTCACTCCCTAGGATTTCATTGTTTTATATTTAATATCTTTTAAAAAAGAAAACAAAATATTATCGAGTTATATTATGTTTTTAAAATTAAAAGATAAAAATAAATAAAAACTAATAATAGTTACAAATAAAAAACGTTTTTAAAAAAAAATGTTTTTATTAACACCAGCAAAACACTAAATCATAAACTCTAAATCATAAACCCTAAACCACTGGATAAATCCTCAACCCTTGGACTAATCTTAAATCCTAGGATTTATGATTGATCCAAGGGATTAGAGTTTACCTAAGAGTTTAGGGTTTAGAATTTAAGGTTTAGGGTTTAGTGTTTTGCTGTCAGTATCAAAAATATTCTTTACAAAATCAAAGATTTATCCTAAGGTTTAGGGTTTACCCAAGGGTTTAGGGTTTAAGATTTAGTGTTTTGCAAATAGTATTAAAAATAATTTTTTTTTAAAGTTTTTTGTTTGCAACTACTATTATTTTTTATTTTTTATTTTTAAAATATAATATAACTCAATAATATTTTGTTTCTTTTTTTAAAAGATATCAAATATAAAACAATGAAATTCTATTGTTTGGTGAACCTCTAGGTTCACCCTAGGAGGTGAACCCAAGAATCTTCTCTATTAAAAGAGAAGTATCATTTTCATCTACTATAAAATAGTTATATTAGGTCCATATATTCAGTTACATTGTATTGATTAGTTACATTAGTTTATTTAATGTATAATATTTTAAAATAATTAGAAAGATATTAATAAAAAATCTATTTTAACTGTAATTTTAAATTTTAGTTTTAGTAATCACAAAATCTGTTGAGAAAAAAATCTAACAAAATCTTTTTTAATAAATAGTTTTTAGTTAATGCACTAATTAATTTCATAATTAGTAGTATAATATTATCATACATTAATATTAATTACAATTTTATATAAACAAAATATAATATATTATATGCCAATTTTATAAATTTTATAAGTATAGTCTCTATTATATTAAAATAGAAATAATAAATGAATTACATATAAAATATATTAAATTTGTAAACTAATATATATTTATAAAAAATCATTTAAATAAATAAATAAAATATCATTCACCATTTAAGTGACTAAAATATTATTTACCTTTTAAGAAGATTAAAAATTTGTAAATTATGTAATAAATTTTATAGAAAATAAAATTGTTAACATGTATTAAATTTTTATATTTAGAAAATGAAAAATTACCCGCACAGATGTGTGGGTTCAAAATCTAGTTACTCATACTGAGACCCCATCTACAGAATTAGTAAATATGATATATTCGATTATTTACATTAATAATAAACCAACTACAGATTTGGATTTATATTTTAATTATAACAAAATCTATTGATAAAGAATCCAACAAAATTCTACTAACTTTTAAATATCTTTTTATAAAAGGCACACATTAATTAATTTCATAATTATAATATAATATTATAAATTACTGTTAATTAAATATTTATTATAAAACAGAAAAAAATAGATCGTATTTTTATAAAGTTTATAATTATATTTTTTCTTATATTAAAATAGATGTGTTATAGGAATTAAATATGACAAAGTTATATTAAATAGGTTAATTGACCCTTTTTAAATAGTTTCATTAATAATAAACCAACTACAGATTTGAATTTATGTTTTAATTATAACAAAGTTTATTGATAATGAATCCAACAAAATTCTACTAAATTTTAAATATATTTTTTATAAAAGCACACATTAATTAATTTCGTAATTATAATATAATATTATTACTATAATTAATGTTAATTAAATATTTATTATAAAACAAAAAATAAAAATAGATCGTATTTCTTATAAATTTTATAATTATATTTTGCATTATATTAAAATAGATGTGTTATAGGAACTAAATATGACAAAGTTATATTAAATAGATCAATTGACCCCTTTTAAATAGTTTCATTTAAATAAATATCACTCATCTTGAATATGTGTTAAAATTCGTAAACCATATAATATTTTTATAAAAAATACATTTATTAACATAGGTTAAACATTAATATCAAAAACAACATATTATCTTTTTATTTATTTTAAAACTCTCATAATATATTACAAATTTTATTAATTTCTAATATATTAATTTAGAGTTCTATTTTTATGTATTGATAACAAGTTATACTTGGATCACCTAAAGATTTAGTTAATATGACATATTTGATTATTTAGATTAAAGTAAACCAGCTATAATATGAATTTGATGTAAGAAATTCTGTTGACAAAGAATCTAAACAAAATCTTACTAATTTTTAAAATATTTTTATAAAATTAATACATAATAAATTTCGTAATTAGCAATACAATATTATAAACCAATGTTAATTAAAACTTTATTTTAAAAAGGAAAATAAAAAATAGATACTGTTTTTATATTTTAACTTATATTCTGTATTATATTAACATACAAATTCTATATGAATTAAGTATGAAAATTATATTAAATAAGTAAATTGATCTATTTTCATTTTAAAATAATTCCACTTAAATCAATTATCACTCATCATTAAAATGTTTTAAATTCGTAAACTATATAAAATTAATATATTTTAAACTTTTATATCTACAACTATATATTTTATTTTTATTTATTTGAAATTCTCAACAGTATTTTGTTTAAAAGTAAACAAATATATAATAGTTTATAACTAACCTTTAGTTCATACACTATTTAATAAATTGTTATTGTACAACTATGAAATATTAATAATTAGTTTTAAATATTAATGACTGAACCAATTTTAATTATAAATTTAATATTTATATCAATTACAAAAAAGTATGTTGAGAAATATATAAAAACTCTTACCAAAAAATAAAATTATTTTTATAAAATAATGTATTTTTGTAGTAAAACAATTCAAAATCATATAATCTTCCAACTCAAAAATAGTTGTGTAATTTTCCAAATTGTTTTTGACAAAATATAAAATTTTGAAAATAAATATTCAAGCTTTGAATGATACTATTTCAAATTTTGCAAAAGATAGAATTATAGAGAATAAAGAATAACTTCTTAAAATATAACACGAAAAACAAACTAATGCTGTAAAAACAAAAGTAATTTTTTATTTTGAAATCTTAATTTAATTAAAAAACTTAATATCATAACATCCAAAAAATATTCTACATCAATAATATGATAGATGCTACTATGTATACAATTCACTAAAATAATATGTCTATATTATTTAAACAAAAGAGTGTTGTACAATATATAACACAAAATGAAAATTATATATTTAAAACATTTATAATAACATCAAAATTTTACATTCATAAAATAAAATGAAAAATATCTGAACGAATGTGCGGGTCAAAGTCTAATTCTAGTTACAAGAATGTATTTGTTAATTCTAAAGTTAAAAAATCAAGTAAAGTTAAAAAATCAATGAAAATAAAAACAGAGAATAGTTTTTTTCCCATATATTTATTGACCTTTGTGTTAGTTTTTTTTTTTTTTGTGTTAGCATTTTGTTACAATCTAAGACCTAGCTAAATTGAATATTAATGTAAAAGATATCCGTCTCTGTACGCATTAAATATTTAGTTTTCATGGCCGAAGAGAAGTAGGTGAGTATGTCTTTTCTGAGGTACCGTGAACGTCATTCAGCTAGCTGGTGAGAACTAGCTTTTGTGAAGTTAGTATGACGTATCAAGGTAAATCAATACAATCAACTCATGATCACCTTTTTCCCTATAAGTGAACAGGCTGGCTCAACATTTATTTGGGTGCTGGGCAAAAAAAAATTTAAAATTCTTAATTTTTATGTTTATTAAAAATTTAAATATATATTAATTTTTATCATAAATATCTTTATAAATTTGTGATGAAAACAAGTTATCTACACATAAAATATTTTAGAGCCCCTTTTAACTAAATCTAATAAAAATTTAAAGTTATATATATATATATATATATATATATATAAAATATTAGATCTCTTAATTATTAAGATACGGGGAGACACGGGTTTAGATCCGAGAAGATCGCACCATTTGTTCCTCCATCTTAGCCGGCACTGTAAATGATTGATGTCACTTACATATTAAACTATACGAATCACTTTAATGGTAAAATATGCAAAATAATTTTCTCATTGCTTTTTATTTATAAAATTTCCTCATGTGTAGGATAGACCGCTTATAAAATAACAGATTAATGGTATAAATAGTTAACGAACTTAACTAGTAAGTACTTAACGTGCATCAGTTGAAGAGTTTTTAAGAAGGTATCTATATATCTATCTATTGAAAATGAAAAAAGGGAAAATTATTTTTTTTAAACCAAAAAAATAGTAACTATGTCATATTACTGTATTAGACAACTCTCATATATTTTATGTTACATTAGACTAAATACTTTCAAAATAGCAATAACACCCTTAATTTCAATTAAAATTTTGAATTATAATTGAAAATAATAGTTAAATATTAAAATATAATAAATAATTAAAATGTTGTAAAAAATTAAAGTAATGTAAATTAATTAAATTAAATTAAAAAATTAAATTGTTGTCAAAAAATAAAAGATAGTTAAAGTGTTGTAAAAAATTAAAGTAATTAAAATATGCATGTTTTTTTAAAAATTAAAACTTTTCTGAAAAATCAATTTTTAATATAGGAAACTGAATATTTCCAAATCTTTTCTTGCCATATTTTTGGAACTGGTTGTCGTTATCCATAGAATATGTATAGTAATAATGTTTGAAATCAATTT